GTTGTTTACTCGTCGGCGGCGGTGGCTGTCAAGAGGGACGATAAAGGAGGTACACGTAGCACTGAGAAGGAACGACGATGAAGAACACTTATGTGGTCGAGGACAAAACCAAAAGTGATCATTAACGGCCTGCGTAGCTGACCTATGATTGGGCAGACTTCTTACAGAGAAAGAACACCGGATAATTCCGGATGACCGAAAAAGGCCAAAGCAAGAACGGCCAAAGTGCCCCTTCTTGACAGTGGCCTTGGAGTCGGTTTTGATCTTCACATGTCAACTCCATGTACAGTACTCAGTAGTATATACACTATAGTTGCGACATTTGTGGTTGTTAAATTCCGAAAATGGTTGCAACAAATATCGCGAGTAATTCACCTGGTTAAATGAGTTTGGATTAGCCGGAACTTCAAGCTACAAAAGTAGCCTGAAGTTGTTATTTTGGTAAAACTTCACAGACTGTCAAGTTGGTTTTGACAACCAAAACCAACTTGAAGTTATCTTCGTTTTTGGATAACGTAAAATCTCAAACACCTTTCTCCGGTCAGTGTCATTTTCGCATTTCACTTCACCTCCGCTCAACGATCATGCAAGCGAACTCGGGCTTACTTGTGCGTGGGTTACTACTTCTGGCCTTTGTAGCGCTAGACATGGCGACGACAGCATCGCTGATGCCTCCGGTGCTTGAGAAGCGCCCAAAGAATGTACCCTTTGGCAAAGTCCCCGGCGAGAACCGCGGCGAGCAGCCGATGGAACCGACCATCTACCTCGAAGATCCGTACTATTACGTCCGCGACGACAATCGCTCCAACACGGAAATCTTGGACCACTTGAGGGCTGAAAACGCCTACACGAAGGCGGCGTTGAGCCACTTGGACGGTCTGCAGGATGAGTTGTACAAGGAGTTGCTCAGCCACGAGCCGGAAACCGACCAGACGGCGCCGTCCCCCCGTGGCGACTTTTTGTACTACTCGGGTACGGAAGAAGGCAAGGCGTACCGCATCTACTACCGCAAGCCTCGCTATGATGACGGCGCCGAGGAAATCTTGCTTGACGTCAACAAATTGGCGGAAGGCCACACGCAATTCAGGGTCGAAAAGGTCAAAGTGAGTCCTGACCACAAGTTGCTCGCGTACTCGGTGGACTTAACGGGCTTCGAAGCGTACGACGTTTTTATCAAGGTACACACGACTTGTTGCTCCATTGGGCACAAATTGCTGTGCCTGACATTCCGTTTCACACAACTTGCCACTATTTATAGATATATCCACCAGCTAGTGATGGCTTTTTCTATATTTTGCCCTTTTATGTTTAATTTGGATCTTTTAATTTAGGATCTGACCACCAACACCACGACCAAGGCTGTGGAAGGGTGCGATGGCACGATCGAGTGGGGTCGGGACGCTGAGACGCTGTTTTATGTGACGCCGGACGCCACCCGCCGCAGACACAAGGTGTGGTCGCATCTGGTGGGCGCGCCGCAGTCGGCTGACACGACTCTGTTCACCGAGGACGACGGATTGTTCCAGGTCTCCTTCCTCAAAAGCAGCTCTGGCCGGTTCCTTGTCATTGATACCTTCTCCGCAGAGACCAGCGAAGGGCACGTGCTCGATTTGCACGACCCCCAATCGTCCTTGGCTGTCGTCGCGCCACGAGTTCAGGTACACATAATATATATATATATATATTCGAGGCTGCTTGATATTCAACGTATCGTGTACAATTTCCAAGATATATATTTTAGTTGGGCCAAACAGCTGAGTTAAAGTACGATGGTCGTTGATTGGTTCAAATATCTCAAAAGTGTAAAGTGATTGGCTAGGACTAGCATGTTGTTCACTGTACATTGCCAGCTCTTTCTTGGCGTATACTAGTATTATGCTCCATATATATTAATATATTTTTCATGGAAATATTAATCGTTTGTGGTTGAATAGGGCGTGCTATACAAGG